CCCTCATGTGTCTTGGCTCAGGGAGTATCCCTCTATGTGGAATGGACTCCCAAAGTCTACACCTATGCTAAGGATAAGTACTGAACTACTACTTTAGTTCCCATAGATTTCTGAGGTCTCCTCACTGACACTCATGTTCCTGGGGTCTAGATCAGTCCCATGCTGGTATCCCAGCCATCAGTCTGGGGACCAAGAGCTCCCCAATGTTCAGGTCATCTGTTTCTGTGGGTTTCACCAGCCTGGTCTGGACTCCTTTGCTCATCACTCGTCCCTCTCTGCAACTGGATTCCAGTTCAATTCAGTGAGTAGTTGTGGGTGTCTGCTTCTACTTCCACCAGCTGCTGGATGAGGGCTATCGGGTGGCATATAAGTAAGTTATCAATCTCATTATCAGGGTAGGGCATTTAAGGTAGCCTCTCCTCTGTTGCTTAGATTGTTAGCTGGTGTCATCTTTGTAGATCTCCAGACATTTCCCTAGTGCCTGATTTATCTGTAACCCTAAAATCTCTCCCTCTATTATGGTATCTCCATTCTTGTTTTCTTCAGTTCTTTCCCTGACTCAACCTTTCTGCTCCCTCATGTCTTCCTCACCCCTTCTTTTCTCCCCTTCTCATTCTCCTAGCACCGTCCCCCTGCTTCCCGTGCTCCCAATTTGCTCAGGAGATCTTGACCCTTTCCACTTCTCCAGGGAACCATGCATTTCTTTTTATTTGGAGTACAACCTAATAAAGCTTTCCCAGGCTTTACAAGGATATATACTCAATATGCTTACATGTGAATAGGGAATTGATAGATATATTAGCAGGTAATTATTTTGCCCTTGATGTCTCTGGTTGGTTCTATCATTGTTGCAATTCTTCTAGCTATATAGTCTCCTAAATGCTGAAATCCTCTGACATCTTAATCACACATGAGGCAGGATGAGAAGACACAACTCATCTGGAATGCATAGATAGCTTCAGAAGAGTGAGTAGGTAGGTAAAAACATGAATTGTAACAGTGTTTAATGCAACCTAATATGAAGTTTCTACATAAAAGTAATGTTTAGCTATTAAATAAAGAAAATTATTCATTCCTAAATTTGAAGACTATAATTAGTTGCCATGACATTAAAGATAATATTTTAATTTTAATTAAATATTATTTTATTAAATGTTATTTAATTAAATATCATTTAAATATTATTTAATTAAATATTTAAAGCATGATGTTCTAAATATTTAAATCAGATGTATAATACAGTAATAATAATGGATAACAACATTTATAGAGTTTTGGCTCATAGAAATCACTTACCAAGAAATTATTACATGATTGTTTTTCTTATCACTATTTGTAAAGGAAATTCCCCTTTTATCTCAGTTTTTCCTATAAAGAAACTGGTTTGAGATGTTGAATAACTTATAAAACTTTATTTAGTAAATCCACACTCTTCACATATTTTCTGATATTTGTTTTGGTTAATTAATTATTCATATGCCCAGACATGAATTTATATTCTATACCACACAAAAAACACTCAATAGTAAAGACAGACATTTTAACTGGCTCATACTGTCACAACATGCTCAACCTCTGTTAAAATGATAGTAAAGAATTTGAGAGAAACCTTCAGTGAGATGGATAAAACAAGAAAAATCATAATGAAATTCTGAAAGCAAGCATACAGGTTGATGAATGTACTCTTGATAGGTAAGTCCAAGAAAACTGAAACTTAAGATAGCAGTTGGATAACTAAAAACTAATTGTTTTAATAAAGCATGTGGGGAACCTTGGCAGATTCCATAGCAGGTGAGGGTGACCAAGGCAGGAGGGGACAAACGTGTCAGGCAAAAAGAGCTTAAGTGACAAGTTTTATTAGAAAGAGAAGGGGAAGGAAAGAAAAGAGGTAAAGAGACACAGAGACAGAGAGAGGACAGAAGAGAAGAGGGAGACAGGAAACATCCTTTCTGCCCCAAGGGAAGAGATCCCAAAAGAGAGCTCAAGTGGGCAGGGATCTTTATTTTAAAGGGATCCTTTGCACCTGCGTGCAGACTATACCATCATGGAACCCTGGGCTGACCAGGATAACACCTGAGTGAGTTCTGCCAGGTGACAGGGGCAGGCCAGCATAATACCTGAATCTTTACACTAATGATATTTAACATACAACAGCTAATTGCTAGCCACAGGTAACCCTAATTTCAGAATGAAGGGAATGATTGTGATTAGGCAAATGTTGAGAGGCAGATTCTAGTGTATTCTTCCTTATCCTAGAGAAGTAGACAGAAATACAAATGCAATCTTTTGTTTCACAGAAGGTAAAGCAAAATGACCTTGGACCTAGGAAATAACAGATATTGGTAAAAACTGGAATATTTATTAACTATATCCATTTATTCAAGAAATGTTTGTGAAATGCTGTCTGTACATGCATCATTTCAGAAAAAGATCCCTCTGTCATCATAAAGGTTACCAAAAAGAAGCAGAAAATAAATGATGCATGTAAATCATATGCCAGGATATGGAACATTTTGTGTTTGTAGAATAAAACCTGCAGAGTGCATTCAGGAGAGTTAAAGCATGCTGCCAAGTTGTTACATCATCAAAAGCAGACTCAGATAAGTTACACTTGAGCAAAATTTGAAAAGGATGAGTGTAGCCACATAGACTTTTGTGGGAAAAGCATTGCAAAGTTTTAAAAAGGGCAAGTGCCTGGGGTTCCCGGGAACAGCAAAGAGGCCTTTTGGACTGCAGCGGAGGGGGGTGGGGTTGAAGAAGAAACAAGGCTAGAAAGTCACATGGTATCACACGATATGGCTTGTGACAAATGGCAAATTTACATTCTGAGACCTTCCGGCCCCAAACAGCATGAAGTTACCTCTGAGTTCCCTTTATTCTTTCTCCACATGCAAAATCCCAGGAAATCCTATTATCTCTACAACAAATATACATTGAGTCTAACCATTTCTGTGTTTATCACTAAAACTGTAATAGCACCTTGCTTTGGGAATGCTAGAAAAGTCCTGACCTGAAATTGCTCCCGCTGCTCTTACCCACTATGGTTTGTTTTCATATTGAGTACAATCAGATAGATGCTTTGAAATCATGCGATTGCCTTGTTAAAAGCACTGCAAAAGAACCACGGGAAGGGCCTGTATGATCTATCTACTCAACCACACATTCCTATTGTCTTTTAAAAACATGTTTGCCATCATTTTCCCACAACTTTACTCTTTTGTCAAATATTCACAGGCTCAGTCCCCTCTTGTGCCTGTCACTCACTCTTCATGAAATTCCCTCCAGTCACATCCCTATATCAAATGGTTCATCTCTGCCAAGCATGTGCTCAGATGACATCATCCTAATGTTACCATACTATCCAGTGGCTTTCTTCTGCACTCCTTGCCCTTTTTTATTCTGGATTAATCACTTATCCACACATATGAAATTGCCTATCTTATATAACGTTGGTTATTATCTATCTCTGTTAGAATATAGGTCCACTAAGGAACACACTTTAAGGTAACTGTGATGGCTAATCTTGGTTGTCACCTTGACTTCATCTGGAATCAACTAAAACTTAAGCAGCTGAGAATGCCTTGGAAGATTTTTTTCTATTTTTAGCAAAATGGTTTCTTTAAATTAGCAACAAGCTTGTTTTACATGTCAATCCCAGTTTACTCTCCCACCCCTCCTCCCCTGCCCCTGCCACGACCCCCTATCTCATCTCCTTTCTGCTCCCAAGGGAGGGTGAGACTTTCCATGGTGATCTTATAAATCTGTCATATCATTTGGAGCAGGGCTTATACCTGTGTTCTAGGCTGAGAGAGTATCCATCTATGTGGAATGGGCTCCCAAAGTTCATTTGTGTACTAGGTGTAAATACTGATCCACTACCAGAGGCCCCATAGATTGCCCAGGCCTCCTCACTGACACCCACATTCAGGGGGTCTGGAACAGTCCTATGCTGGTTTCCCAGCTATCAGTCTGGGGTCCATTGCAATCCCTTGTTCAGGTCAGCTGTTTATGTGTATTTCTGCAGCATGGTCTTGACCCCTTTGCTCTTCACGCCTCCCTCTCTGCAACTGGATTCCAGAGTTCAGCTCAGTGTTTAGCTGTGGGTGTCTGCTTTTGCTTCCATCAGATACTGGATGAAGATTCCAGGATGGCATTTTTTAAATCAAGTATGAGAAAGAAGCTTTTGCTTCTTACCAGCTTGTCTTCAAGTTGTACTGGCAAATTCATTTCCTCTATTGACATTTTGCCGCTGCTGTTACTGCTGCCACCACTGCCACTGCTGCTAATGTACTTGGTTGACATTCTATACAGTTTCTGAAGATTGTCAAAGTATACTGAAGCCCAATAGCTTTCTGGAAATCCTCTAGCCCTTCAGTATCAGACTGGAACTGCTAAGGAATCAAGCCCTGTGGATTAAGCAGTCATCAGGTTCTTAGCTTCTCCAATGTGTAAGAAACCATTGTTGAACCACCTAAATCACACTATGTAAGAAAATCTAATAAATCCTCAATTTAAAAAATTCTTCTCACATATATAACATTCTGAGTTCAGTTTCCACTTAACCCCAGTCTCTCCTCCTTCCTCTCCTCTCCCCTAGATCCACGCCTCCACCTCGTCTCCCCTCAGAAAATAGCAGGACTTGCCTTGGATTTTCTTATTTGATTATTTGCTATGGGAAGATCCATTTCTATGTGGTCCATGCCTTCTGGTGGCAGTCTACACAAAAGGACACAAAAGAAGAAAGCATAGAAGAATAAGAATAAAAATAAGAAGAAGAAGAAGAAGAAGAAGAAGAAGAAGAAGAAGAAGAAGAAGAAGAAGAAGAAGAAGAAGGAGAAGAAGAAGGAGAAGAAGAAGAAGCATTTGCTTTTTACCTTCTTCTCCTCATGACACTGGTAACTTCATCTATCCTTATGCTGAGGCATTCCTTAGCTGGTATTAGAATCCTCTTCTTTGGGATTCTAACACTGTCTCTAGGAATTTTCCAGTACTCCAGCACCAGACTCAGACTGCTGTGGCATACAGTTGCGTAGACTGAACAGCGACCTGATTGTTGGTCTTTCTATTGGGAAACAGCCATTGTTGAAGCACCCAGACTACAGCTTGGAAGCCATTCCAATGAATCCCCTTCGTGTGTGTGTGTGTGTGTGTGTGTGTGTGTGTGTGTGTGTGTGTTATTGATTCTCTCAATTCTGTTCCTTTAGAGAACTGTGAATACTCGGATTGTATTCAACATATACATAATACATTGTCTGACATGTGAAAGTAACAGGAAATGTACAATACTCTCTATCTCTGATACTGGCACATGGATGTCTGGCATATTTTTTGTGTTTATGTGATTTTGTGCACATTCATGTAGGAGGACATGCATATATATATGGGTATGAATACAGAGGCCAGAAGACAACTTTTATTGTTTCTCAGATGCCATCCACATTTTTTTCTTTTTCTTTTTTCAGACAGGATCACTCATTGACCTGGGTGGAGCTCTGCAATAGGCTGACAGGATGACTGGCTAGTGAATCCTAGGGATGCATTTGTGGCTAACTCATTGTTCTATCATCAGAATGTAGACCAGTATCTGTTACATAGTAATTATGCCCTTCTATAAGGGCAATGAATGGCACATTTACAAGTAAAAGTTTTCAAATCAAATAAATAGTATTACTATGAATACTCATGTAAAGGATATTATGAATGACTACAAGCTTTTCTGTTTTTTTTTATTAATAATATATATTCAATTTTCCACTATGTTGGTTGTCTTTTGCTTAGTGATAGTAACAAGTATTTCCCCGACATGCAATGTTTCAGGAATTTATCCTGTAACCTCATTTGCAAATTATTTTCCAAGTATGTCACTTGTAATGAGAGATCTACTACATACTTGTGGTGCTGACCATGCCCGTTGGGCATGGTCACAGGTGCCTACATGAGCATGGAGGATTTATTCTGAGATCCAGGACAGGCTCTCTCTTGCGGCTGGTCAGGTCACAGGGAACAGCCTGGGACAATCCTTGGAGCTGGAACCCAGGGCAATAACTCACCTCTCTGTGTAAGTGCAATCCCCTCGAATAAACTTCACTTAAACTGTACTGGGTCTATTGAACCTTGATTCCCACACAATGTCTGGTGTTAGAAGTGGGATTTTCAAAAGACATGGGGAACTAAGTTTCACCCAGCTGGCGGGGTGTCTTCACCATGTCAACACCCCTGGGCATCCTCCAAAGTGGTCACGCCACTTCCTATCTAGCTGTTGATTGCTTGAGCCCTCACCCCTCCTGGTCCTGCACCCAGCGATGGCTTCCTGCCTGCCCACTCCCCTACCCCTGCTCCCTGCTAGCACAGCTCCCTCCTGGGAGCCGGTTCAAACTTGTAAAGGCTTAGTGCCTACCGCAAGGGCAACAAACTGCTGGCCTCCTGTAGCATGAGCAGTGCCACTGACTCACTCAAAGGAGTCGGCACTGCCTGCCTGCTAGGCTGCCAATTGGTGCAGTCCCTGGAACCTGCCAGCTCCATGAGTCCCATCGATTCACGCAAGCCTTGCCTTTTTCCTTTTCTAAAAACAATTTCACTTGATTTGGATTTGCTAAAAGTTTCGTTTAGAATTCACAGAATCTTAACGAATTAGAAACAATCCAGGAAGAAGATGTTTGGAGGCACATCCATCGTCTTCTCCACCCATTCCACCTGCTGGCCACACATAGTAACTACAAGTTGAGACCTACAAGCAGAAGAAAAGAGCATGGAGATAACACCAGGTTTCTACTAAAAGTAGGTATTGTATTCTTTGTATTTTAAGCTAACAATAATAAATAAGATTAACTGCTCTATACCAATGGCAGATAATCTTACAATGCAGGTCATTAGGAATTTTTTGTTTCTTATATTGATGGGATTTTAGAAGAGATTATGACTTACCCAGAATATACCTACTCTTAATAATGGCGATTAGTTTCATAGTCCATATAATATTCTTAAACAAAGGGTTTAAGAATAGAGAGAATAAGGAATTTGTACAAACAATTCAGATCTTATAAGCAAATAGTGAAAACTTTGAAAGAAGGATTCAGAATATTGAAAACAGCAATGGAGATCTGACAAAAAGAATTCAAAACATGGAATGTAAAAATGGCCAACTAGGAGACAGAATTTGTCTCAGGTCTGTTGCTTTAATGACCAAAATAGGAACAATGCAAGATAACATTAGCATACTAGCAGAACCAACTCTTTCCATGTCTGATGACTCAAATAATAAAATACAAAAACTGGAACATCAGATTGGAAAACTAACAGAATTTGTTCCATGTCTGAGGATAATGACAAGCTATCAGATAGAATATTGTTTCTGGAAGGCAGTTTACATGCCATTCAGATAATATCTAAAGATGGGAATACTAAATGTTTAGAATCATATATAAATGAGGAGAACAAGAAACTGACTGACTCAATGAAATCTTTAGAAACATATATGGTCCAGGGAGTTCAAACACTCAGAGACACAACGCTGAATAGATTACAGGCCATAGAAGACCTTCAATCTGATACACCAGAAGCAGAAGCACAAGTAATAGGCTATGAAGGAGATTTAAAATTGCCTACACCTTTCAGACACTGGGAAGACCTACCTAAGGTCGCTATGCCATATCCTATGGCTTTCCCAGTGGCTATCACTGAAAAAAACAGCAACAAGAAAACACCAGAAAGGCTTCTTTGCATATCAGTGGAAACCAATACAGATGAAAGATCTAATAGACACAATGGAAGCAGTAGTCTCTTATGGAATGCACTCATCATATGCGAGGAAATTAGTAGAATCATGGGCAAAGAGTAATAGAGTGACCCCTAGGGACTGGAGCCAATTAATATCAGCTGTACTTGAAAATTCATCTCAAAAGGAATGGAGGTCCTTATGGGGGGAAGAAGCAAAAGGTCTCAAACTTCAGGGCTTAAAGAAAGGTTATAAATCTCCCCAAGGTAAAATTCTTGGTGAGAGTCTCTATGCTGATCCAAAGACTCAAGCTGCATATGATGAAGACATCTCATCTCTATGCCATACAACAGCTTTGAATGCTTGGGACAAGGTTCATGAATCAGGGGAGAGAACAGAACCCTATACCAAGGTGAGGCAGGCACTGAGGGAACAAGAAAGTGAATTTTTACAATGATTGTCCAGAGCAGTAGAATTACAGATAGAAGATTCAGATTCTAGGCTAATACTCAGAATCTCTAGCTTATGAGAATGTGAATCCACAATGCAAAAAGGTGCTTTGTCCCTTAAAGACCAGATCAGCACCATTGGATGAATGGGTCCTGTATACAGCCGACATTGAGGATAATGATTATGACACTGAAGCTTGGGTAGGAGAAGCAGTCTCAAAAGGTTTAAAATGACATCAAAATACCAGATGTTTTAACTGTGGTAGAAGAGGACATCTAAGAAGAAATTGTGGGCAGCATATTTCTAGAAATAATGCTCCTTCTAGGATGAATCAAACAGAAGGCCTCAACCTTCTGGATTATGTAGAAGATGTAGTCTATTGACACTGGACTAATGAATGTAGAGCGAACAGATACAAGCAAGGAAACCATTTACTGTCAGGAAACTCCTTGGTGGGGGGCGCTTCTAGAAGGCCCCATGTCAGAAGTGGTCCAGGCATTCCCAGTCACTGCTGAGGACAGTTTTTCCCAGGATGATTAGAAAAATCCAGTGCCTATTGTAAAAAAAAATCATACTACTCTGGACAATAGAATAGTTATGATGGATGAATTAAATGTAACTGGAGGAAACAAAAAATGTATATTTTGGCAAACTTCTATAAATGATCAAAGGCCTAAAATAAGAGTACAAATGAATAACAGGTTGATTGAGGGGATACCTGACACAGGCACTGATGTGACCATTATAACTCAAAAATCTTGTCCTCTAAGATGGCTCCTGTAAGAGGTAGATGTCCAATTCGTAGGGATTGGAACTCTATCTCAGGTAAAACAGAGCGCGAGATGGGTTGAATGCATAGGGCCAGAAGGACAAAGAGGAAGACTAAGGCCAAATGTGGCTGATAAAATCTATGGGGCCATGATCTATTGCAGCAATGGAATACCCAGATTAACATTCCTCCAGTATCAGATATGAATCATAAAGAAGCTCATGATTGTAGAAAAAGTATTGTAAGGCACTACAAAAAACAGATACCAACTATCCAGGCTATACATAAACAATACAAGTAGCAGACCTACAGAGGAACCAAAAGTCCTACCCTTAAAATGGCTTACAGATGAACCTGTCTGGGTAGGGCAATGGCCTATGACCTCTGAGAAGCTAGAGGCTTTAGAAAAGCTGGTTCAGGAGCAGTTAAATGCTGGACATACCGAAGAATCTACCAGCCCTTGGAATTGTCCTGTATTTGTTATCAAAAAGAGGCCTGGAAAATGTAGAATGCTTGCAGACCTGAGAGCCATCAACAAAGTAATTCAGCCAATGGACCCTCTACAGCCTGGTATTCTCTTTCCTTCTCTGATACCTAAAGAATGGCCTATTATAGTTATTGATTCAAATTTTGCTTTTTCACTATACTTTTACAAGAAAAAGATAGGGAAAAATTGCCTTCATGGTGCCTACTTACAACAATTCTCAGCCTGTTAAGAGATTTGCCACAGGAAATGTTACATAGTCTCACTCTGTCATGGAGCCTACTTACAACAATTCTCAGCCTGTTAAGAGATTTGCCACAGGAAATGTTACATAGTCTCACTCTGTGCCAATATTTCATGCAAAAACCTTTGGAAATAATTCATAAACAGTTGCATAATCCATAATTTACCATTATATAGATGATATATTGTTGGCTGATTCTAAGGTAGGAACATTAGAGAAACTGTTTGAGAAAGTAAAGGAAGTTTTACGTCACTGGTGATTCAGATTGCCCCTAAAAATACAAAGAAGTGATTCTATCAATTATTTAGGATATAAAATCGGTCTACAGAAAATTAGACCACAAAACATACAGATTAGGAGAGATCGTTTCCTGACTCTTAATGATCTTCAAAAATTACTAGGAGAGATTTCTCAAATACAGACTATTATTGGAGTAGAGGGCCATGATTTGAAAAACTTAAAAATGGACCTAAAAGGGGACAAAGACTTAAATAGTCCATGAATATTATCAGCTGATACTGAAAAAAGAATTAGAATGGGTGGAAAAGAGAATATTAGAAGCACATGTGGATTGAGTGGATCCAGAACTAAACTGTATTCTGGTTATATTGCCATCTAGAGAATACCCTTCAGGGATTTTGATGCAGAGGGAATATTTCATATTAGAATGGGTATTTCTACCACATAAACAGAATAAAAATTAAAAACATATAAAAACGATCTCTGACTTGATTTTTTTATTTTTATTTTTTATTAGTTCAAGTTAGGGAACAAGCTTGTTTCGCATGTAAGACCCTTCTCCCTCTCCCTCCTCTCACCCCCATCCCTCCTCCCCCACCCTCAACCTACCCCCCACCCCATCCACCCCCCCCACCCGGCTAATCTACTTCCAGAGGCTCCCTGGAGTGCAGAGGCCTCCTTATTGAAATCCATGTTCAGGGAGCTGGATCAGTCTCTGACTTGATTTTAAAAGGTAAATTAACACTTCATCAACTGACAGGAAGAGACCCAGTAGAAATTATAGTACCTTTAACTAATGAGGAAATTCCCTCCTTAAGGAAGGATAATGAATATTGGCAAAGAGCTTGCAGTAGATTTTTTGGAACAATTAGCAACAATTATCCCAAAAGTGAGAGAATCAAATTCATAAAGAAAATGATTTGGATCCTTCCATGTATTGTAAGAAAAACACCAATCTCTCGAGTCCATAATTCTACCCTGATGAAAACAAATCAGGTAAGGCAGGATATAAATCAGGAAATATAGGTAATGTAGTTCAAAGCCCTTATAACTCTGTACAAAAGGCAGAATTGTATGCCGTTCTCATGGTACTTATGGATTTTACAGAACCTCCCAATATAGTTACTGATTCTCAATATGCAGAGAGAGTTGTTTTATACATTGAGACTGCTGAATTTATTCCTGATGATACAGAAT